CCTGGGCTGGGGATTCGAACCCGCCACCTTAGGTGTATGTGGCTGGCGCCTTAGCCGCTTGAGCCACAGGCGCTGAGCCAGGTATTTCTTTATAGCAACACAAGTGGACCAAGAATCACATCACCCACAAATGGAGTTTTTCTTCTAAAATGTACACTTTTTTGTTTGTTTTTCTTAATTTTTCTTTTTGTTTCTTTTTCACTGGCCGGGACCTATACTACAATGTTGAGTTGAAATAGCAAGAGCAGGTACTTCCACTTTGCTCCCACTCTTGTGTACACTATTTCGTTATTGTCTGATGGTAGTTGCAGGTGTTTCACAGATGTCCTTGATCAGAGTGAAGTTATTCTCTTCTAGTCCTATTTTGCTAAGAGTTTTTAAAAATCATGAATATATATTAAATTTTTCCAAAAACTCTTTCTGCAGAAATTGAGAAGCACGTATCATTTTTCTCTTTCATTCTGTTACTGTGGTAAATTTCATCAATTTTTGTATGCTAAACCCTGCTTGGCTATGCATGATATGCACGTTGTATTCAATTTGCTTATATTTAACTGAGAATTTTTCCACATTCATGAGCAATATTGGTCTTCAATATTCTTTGATTGTAAGGTGCTGGTCAGGCTTTGGTATAAGTTTATATTTTGCATTATGAAATGAGTGTTGCCTCCTCTATTTATTGAGGAAATTTCGAAGACTTAGTAGTATTTCTTTTTCTTTCTTTTTTTTTTATACAGAGTCTCACTATGTCACCTTTGGTAGAGTGCAGTGACATCACAGCTCACAGCAACCTCAAACTCTTGGGCTTAAGCTCTTGGGCTCAAGCGATTCTCTTGCCTCAGCCTGCAGAATAGCTGGGACTATGGGCGCCCCCTCCAACGCCTGGCTATTTTTTTTTTGTAGTTGTCATTATTGTTGGCAGGCCCAGGCCGGGGTCGAACCCACCAGCCCTGGTGTATGTGGCCAGCACCCTAGCCGGCCTTAGTGTTATTTCTTTATTAAATGTTGCATAGAATTCCACAAACTTATTGAGTAGAAATGTACCGCCAGTTGATGGCGGCCTCCGACATCACAATCCATATTGTCGCAGAGCCAAGCCGTCCTCTTGACAGTTTTTGAATAAGGAAAACGAACTACGGAGTAGAAAGCCGCTGTTGTACGCCACGATAACTATTGGCAGAGCGTAGCTTCAAGAGTGTTAGTGAGCATGCGCGCGGCTCAACGGCGGCCGCGGAAATCCCGAAGCGGTCTAACCCAAACCGGAAGTGGCCCAAAGAGACCCTTGTGACTGTGTTGTCAGGCGATTCTAGCCTTCCTAAGTCGCTTGCCGGACCCTGAGGTGATTGGAGTATTACTAGTAGGGACCTTGTGGGGCCAGTGAAGGAGTTCGGCTTGGGGTGACTCATGAGAGTGTTGGGTGAGTGAAGACCCGTTGCGAGGCATGTGATTGGGGATTTTGGGGTGATTGGTGGCGGCTGTGGGGTAAGTGGGGGTTGCTTGTTTAAGTTGGATAATTGGCTCGTTAGTTTTCTGTTTATTTTCTGTGTATTTTCTGTTTGTATATAAGTGTTTTTATAATTTAAATTCCAAGCGAACTTTAATACCCGATTTTATATTTTTGGCCATGAAACGCGCTCATTTTTAAGGATAGTGAACGTGCGTTGTAATGTGCTGGTCAGGCCTTGGTATCAGCGGCTTAGTCATTGGTACCGGGAGATTTAGGAATATGATTCACCTCTTGGGGCACTGAAGGACTCAGGGGTTGATTGGGAGCCAGTAGCTTCAGGGGTTGGAGGACTTTGAGGTCACGTTTTAATACATTCTGGGGGCCTACCAGAATCAATTAGTAGAATTGGGTGCTCAGAATGGCATCTGGGAGCCAGTTGACTGGAGGCCTTAGGGGGTCAGTGATTGGGGTTTCTGAGGGCAGCTCCTCTGCTTTCTGAGCAGTGAGGGAGGGAGTCCTTGGAGGTTAGATGGGTGGGTCAGTTTTGGCCTCTCCTTGAGTCCCTAGGACATGGTAAGGATCAGTGACTGGCAGTTGAGCAGAATAGATGGCTTTCTTCTGGCATGTTTTATTTGAGCTCCTTTGCAGAGGATTATTAGGTGTTCTGCAGAAACTGATAAATCCTTCTCCCTGGGAAAAATTTATTACCTGTCATGGTAGTAACCATTTCAGGAGCTTGGGGCAGGTCAGTGACTGGGAGGTATTTTGTAACTTTCTTTTTTTTTTTTTTGAGACAGAGCCTCAAGCTGTCCCCCTGGGTAGAGTGCCATGGCATTACAGCTCACAGCAACCTCCAACTCCTGGGCTCAAGCGAGTCTCCTGCCTCCGCCTCCCAAGTAGCTGGGACCACAGGCACCCACCACAACACCTGGCTATTTTTTGGTTGCAGCTGTCATTGTTGTTTGGCAGGTCCGGGCTGGGGATTCGAACCCGCCACCTTAAGTGTACGTGGCTGGCGCCTTAGCCGGTTGAGCTATAGGCGCTGAGCCGGTATTTTGTAACTTTCTGGCATCCCTGTGGTCCACCCATTGGGATTTCTGATTGTCAATGACATTGTTGTCAATGACTGCATTTGGGTGTGATGGGGACAACTCACTATGAACAGGCAAGAAGTGGTCAGTGATTGGAGGTCCTGGTGCACGTCTGCAAATTTTCTGGGTTAAGATGGGAGTTGGGTACAGTGATTTTAATTTATAGCTTTGTGAAAAGAGGCTTGCGTGTCATGGATGGGTGCTGAAATGTTCAGAACCTCAGAACAGGCATACCAGAGACAGCCAACTCCCAGCCTGAGCTCTCTGAAGGCAGCTACAAGTGGAAATAGTATTTCTAGAAGCTGGCCACATGGGAGTACACAGGTAACGTGCAGTTTAGAATAAGTAGACATGGGGCTGATTCTTCCATTTGCAGACTGAGTAACCTCCAGGCAAATTATATAACAGCCCCACAGCCTTGTTGTCCTCATCCACTAAATGGGTATATTAATGTCCATGATCTTTAGTTGATAGGGTTGTGTGAAATTAAGTTGACAACTTGCTAAGTTTTACTCAAGTTTACCACACACCAGGAGGGTCCTGAGGGCTTTACATGCTTCATCTTGCATAATTTTTCCAACACTTGTGATGAATACCTGTATCCTCCTTTTAGAAACTGCAACTAAGGTAATATCTTCATATTTTCATAGTTAAAAAGTAGAAGGACTGGCTCGGCACCTGTGGCTCAAGTGGCTAAGGCGCCAACCACATATACCTAAGGTGGTGGGTTCGAATCCAGCCCAGGCCCGCCAAACAACAATGATGGCTGCAACCAAAAAATGGCCAGGCATTGTGGTGGGCGCCTGTGGTCCCAGCTACTTGGGAGGC